TAGCTTCCATGTTAGAAAGTGTAAAAGATGAAAGTAAACTGCTGTTTGGATAAGTCTATCCGTATTCCTGGGTTTGCAATTTTTTAATTTGCATGCTCAAAATAAAGACTATCTTTCATCTGCCTCATAATGGTACCATATTCCTCAGTCAATGGAGCCACAACAGGCAGGACCTTTCCTGTGCCTAAAGTTACTCAGTAAATCTAGTAGCAATACTTTTTTACTTAACACTATAGCAATGGTGTTAAACATGAAAGCCTCAAAGAGGCAAGATCTCATGAAGATGAGCAAGACTTTTGTCAATTACTCCTTCTAGTTCTCAAAGATCTTCTAAACTAGTGTCAAAATGATTTATTAGAGGAATGGAATGTGTTAGCGTTATCTGGAGGTCATTGAAGGTATGTCAAGGTATGTCTTAAGAGCCGTGTCATGCAGCAAGTTATAAGTAGATGACAATAAAAGATTTGAGAAGGAAAGAGACAGGAGAAGAAATGAGGATCATTGCTGTTTCCTGTCACAAATTAGAGCCCCGAGTTGTCACTTTGACTAAACCAAGGGAAATAAGACTTTCAGAACCCACCAACCAGACATGAAAATGAGAATGTATCCTTCCAAAAAGTCTGCTATAGACTGAGACTCTTCATTCTTGCTGTTCCCAAAGAATCGATTTACCTTTTCCCACAACGATTCATCTTCATGATAAACATTTGCTTTATAGAGGAAAACCAAACAATATATGAAAAGTGGAGGTAATGAATGAGAAATAAAACTATAAGCATTGACCCAGACATGTAACTGTCTCATTAAGCCTCTAGGAAGTGCTTTTGAGAAATAATCACGCAGGATCTTTGCTCAGCCTTCAACAGCTGTTGGTGCATATACCTGTTACAACAGTATCTGCATTCACTGCTGGATTTTTATCTCCCCATGGGCACATTTTTATACCCAATGAAGGAGTATTGGAATCAAATGGATGCTCTATGAATAAATACAGGAAGAGAATAGTCGATTTAATTTGTTTTGATCCTGCTGCCACCCTGTTGTGTATATGGATCTGTCAAAGGGCGGAGGTCAGGTTAATGCCATTTATTTCATTACCAAAGAAAACAACAGCAACAGCAAAAACTGTTCTGAAAAAAGGTAAGTCCCAGGAGCCTTAAAACAAATATCCTGTGTGTGAATTAGAGTGAGTATATGATAGTAAATGATTCATCAAAATATATCCAGACAGAGAAAAGACAAATTTTATTTCTCTAGATAAATTATGCTAGAGAATACAACAAAGCAAACCTACATCCATAATGAATGAAGCAGCACAATCTACTGCCACTGACTCTATTCCAAAGCATAGAGCCCCGACAGGACAGACTTGAGCTGCCTCATGGCTTCTAAGGTTGTGCATCTTTGTGGAATGAGACTGCCACATCGTTCTCCCATGACCCCTCAGGAAGGATGGTGGGCTTGAACCACTGATCTTTCCGTTGGTGACTGAGCACAAAACCATTGTGCCAACAGGGCTTCTTTGCATGTTGTAGTAGGGATTAACTGTATTTTAATTTTGTTGAGTGATATCAAATTGGTTCCAAATGATAAGAGTTCTTGGCTATATTTTTATGAAAGTAGATAAAACCAAAAACCAAAATCCACTGCCATTGAGTCAATTACAACCCATAGTTGGAATCGAGATAGGTTTTCTGAGACTGCAAATCTTTCAAGGAAGATAGCCTCACTTTTCTTTTTCAGAACAGGTCCTGAATTTGAACCACCAACCTTGCTGTTTGTAGCCCAATGCCACCAAGTCTCATCATTAGAGCAAATACGTCTTTTTCTCATGGATCAGTTGGGTAGTTTTGAACTGCCATCTTTTTGGTTCATTGCTGAGAGTATAATAATTACACATCTAGGGTTTCTTAAATATATTTTAGGATAATTATGTGTCCGTTTACTTGCATGCATGAAATGTATTTTGTGTGTGGAAATGGAATATGAAATTGTACAGAATTTTTTTTGGTTATACTCTGAGGTGTCCACATGGCATAAAATCTCCTTATAGATACAGGCTACCAAATATAGAGTGTTAACTAACAGGCAGGTGGTCCCAGTGATAGAGAAGGTGCAGTTAAGAAGCCAGAAAAGTAGGTGAATTAGAGAGGGGTTAGAATGTCTTCAAAAGACTATGCATTTAGATTTAGATTGTAGTTGTTCAAAGATGGAAACTCCTGAAAGAATAAAAACCTGCATGAAACTCCATGGATCTTGGCATTACTGAGGAAAGATAAGCTGTATATTGTGTTTATGTTTGGAGGGTGAAGCTTGCTTGCTTTTCATGTATACTTAGTGAAACTTGGTGTGTTGACTGAGATTATGATATGATCCAATCCTGAAAAAACAATTATGGTTTAACCCTGAGACTCTACTTGTAAGAGTGGTGTGAATATCATATTATGTCTTGGCATCTTTCTATGTTACATTCAACTTTATTTTACAGGTAACCCCTGCATTCTGTGTATGTATGCATGGACTGCTCATGTGGGAGGTATGTAGCTGTCGGGGGGAGGGCATGAGAATCAACCTTGACAGATTAGTCATGCTACAGAACCATCTGAGAGCATACATCAGCAGATGAGCAATGCAAACACTCTGAGTCAGCGTTTGCTTTCTTATATTTCTTCTTTTTGCCATTTGTCAGCGAAATCTAGTCCTGGATTCTCAGAGACTTGACTAATGAGGAGCTCCAGCTTTCTGACTCACCGCTTCTTCAGTCTTCCCGTGACATGAGTAGAGATGCTCTGGCCACACCTACTATCCTTGATGGTGACTTTTATTTCACGGGACAAGTGAATATAGATTCAAGCAAAAGGCTGATTTACGCAGTCTTTTCTTGGAGGAGATAGAAAAATTTAGAGCGAAAATTGATAATGAGGAGGTCAGGGCAGGAAGATACAGTATTCAAAGATCATTCCTCTTCTAAAGGATCATTCATCTATTAAAGCTAGAATGAAAAAGCAAAAACAACCCCCCCCCCAAACAAAACAAAACTAAACAAAAACCCTAAACCTGTGCCCTTGTTAGAATCACTTTAAAATGTTCTTTATTTTCCACCCTAGGTAAGGGATAATGGAGATGATTAAAGGGTTAAGGAGAGCCCAAATATAATTTTAAGGAGAGGATGCATACATAAAACGACATCTAAAAGTGAGAAAATACACCGACAAAACCAGCCCTGATCCCATGTGTTCCATTTCTGAAAGAGAAACAGAGCTAATGAGCTTTTCATTGTGACTCTCATCATGCAGGGGGAATGTTAAGTAATCCGATGTGATAGATGCACTCAGAACAAGTTGAACATCTGCTAACTGTGAAGACCGGCAAACAGCAATGTGGAAGCTGTTTTCCATATGGAATCTGTCTTGTAGTGTCCACCGGCAAAGATTTACTCTAGCTGTGGATCATTATATTGTCATTTCCAGCACATTTATGTTGTTTTTCTCTTATGTTTTTTTCTCCAAGATGGTCCAGAGACCAAGAGTTAGGCATATTGCTGAAGCAAAGTTATGCAGAATGTTACTATTACCTCACAGATGATCTCAAGATGTGTTTCTTTGATGCTTTCCTGTCAAATAGGGCAAAGAAAACCTGAAATCGGTCAGGTCACCACCTCACCGAGGAACTACAATATCTTAAGCAATGCCTTTAGGAGCAACAAGGTGCATAGAGTATGACATAGTGGAAAATGCAGTGTGCTACGACCTGTGGACCCCTCTGAAATCAAGCCGCCACAATCAGCCAGAGCTGAGAGCAAGGACTCCAGTGCACTGTCAACCTCTTAGAAAATGACTCAGTGGTCAGAGGTGGATTCATCATGGCTAATCCAAACATGAGACCTACATTCTCTGCCTTCACCGGATCTTGAGGGAATGGTTGAAAGGGAAGAATCTTGTTTAGCATTTCCCTGCTCTCAAGCAGTTCTTATTTTAAACTGTATTAAAATGGTGTAAATTCTTTCATGGCACTGCATATTGATTTCAATTTCTTTATGCTGCAACATTTCATCCATATAAAAGGGCTCTAGAAAGTTCATGGAAAAAGGTCCTTCAAACATAATAGATTTTTTCTACAAACTTTTTGCAGTCTCTCTCTGTGTGCGCATGTGTGCGCACATGCATGTATGTGTGCGTGCTACCTCAGTAAGACCCCCAGATATCCTAGATGCCATTTCTCACAAAATTAGATGAGGTGCTTTTGAAGTTAAAGAACATCTACTTCCTAGCAGCTCTCTGACGTCCTAATTTTAAGCTACTATTTTCCATGCTTCCCTGTAGATGTATGCTATTGAGTTACGCTAAAGTGCAGGCCCTGGAGAGAGTGGTAATAAAGGAGGAAAGCCATTTCTCACTACAGCCATGTATTTGAAAATACTCCGAGTACAGGAGCCAACACTAATGAGTGAAGACAATTGGCTATGTTAAGAAAAAGTTAATTAACACAAAACAAATCTTTCTTCTTCTTATTTTTAATGCCGTTGAAATAAACCAGAGATCTAAATCTAGTCTCTCTACTCCCTGGTTCAAATGGACTTGAGATAGGGGAGGATTTCATAGATGACCATTATGTCTAAGTCACAGAACTCAGATTTAAGGTAAGCCTGAAAGTGTGGAGGTTTGTGAAAATTGGAAACACATAAGTCAATATGTATGTGTTCACACATGTGCCTTTATCACTAGCAAAAGGAATCAGACCAATCTCTTGAGTGATCACAATCTCCACAATAGGTTTGTCAAGGAGGAGGTGGTGACCTTAAATGCCTGGTTTCCTGGGCTTGGCCATGGGAGTAGATGCTCTATTGGATGCAGGTACTTTCCAAAAAAAGAAAAAAAAGAAAGAAAAAAAATGAACCAAAAAAACCAAAACAAAAGCAAAGCAAAACCAACAAACAAACCAATATTTTAAAAAATTAATAAGAGTAAAAAAAAATTAATAAGAGTAAGTACATGATCAAGATTAAAATATAAGAGAGTCGATAGAAGACAAAAATTAAACTCAGAGAGTACCAGGTAATCCTGCATATTTTCAGATGAAATATTCCCGTTTACACTCACTCACAGAGTGTTGCAAGTCAATATCATTTCTAAAGGAACTGTCCAAATGGTCTGGGTAGCTTTTTTCTTTGATCTGGTTAGTGTGATGTGACTGCTTGTGCTGGTAAAGGAAGCGGGCCATGATGCCGATGATAGAGAAGATAATGCAGGTCACCACTGCTATCACTCCTGCAAGGGGGAACAGGAAAGAGAAGGAAAGTGTCACAAGTCATCTGGCAAAGACACATGAGCCAGACAAGACAACAGAGGCCCCAAAGAGCAACATAACAAAACAATTCACATTGTCAACCAACAAATTCTGCCAAGTGCTAGTTGGTAATTACCACAAAGCCTTATTTCAGACCATGGAGACAATCAGATCCCCTGGGTGGTGCTATCAGTTAACATGCTGGCAGGGACGGTGAATGTGGCATTAATATGGCTCTTCTAGCCAAAGTCTCCAACGGTTACACACCTTTTTTCTGTGTGGGTCTGCGTCAGCTGATGGGAGAAGATGCTGACAGGTTCAAGTGTGAGTAATTGTGAGCAGGATTCATTGGGATGGCATCCTGCTGGGGATACAATGTGCCCTCTAAGAAGAGTGGAATCTCATGACCAGCAAGAGCCAGGAGCAGTGTGTCCTCTGCACCCCAACATCCCTCCACAGTGAGCCTCCTGAATCCCAAAGACAGCTGTGACAAGGCTAGGCAGTAGCAGAGCAGCACACGAAGTAAGCAAAGCTGAGTTTTGGGGTAGCTTGCAGATTGGGGTGCGTCTGGGCACTTAATTGAGGAAGCTGGGCTTGCTGACCCATGGAGGTGGAGCTGAGTGCTTTCAGGGTGAGGTTACTGGAGTGAGGTGCCTCTGGGCATTTAATTGGGGACCTAGGTTTGTTGACCCATGGAGCTTGAGTTTAATGCCTTTGGATTGAGGTTTCCAGTGAACTAGCATGCCCTTTGGGCATTGATTAGCAGTCCTCAAAAGACTTTATAATGTATAAAGTCTTGATGAATGTATCCTAAGAATTTCTCCCTTGCTTTACAACCTAGTAACTTTCTCAATAAACTTTTTTATCATATATATTGTCTGTGAGTTTTGTGTAACGATTGCAACGAATTTTAGAACCTAGACATAAAAGTAGAGAATGCTGCTTGAGTGACAGGACACTCAATGCTTCACTGTTAGCCAGTAGGTCGATGGTTCAGGTCCAACCAGATGAAAGGCTTGGTGATCTACTTGAGAAAAGAATATCAAACCCCCTTGATACGATACGCACGGGGTTGACAAGAGCCAGAGTCACTCCATTAGCAACTGTTCTGTTTGTGGTCTGCAAGGGAGGACACCAGGGGAAGTCACAGAATGGTTAGCTAGACAGAATGTGAATTCCAACATAAATTGATGGAATTTAACTAGCAAAGGATTGTTTAGTAAATGTTACTTCCAGACTTAAAAAATATGTCAGAATAGATACAAGCAGCACATTTCCTTGTCAATTTGCAACTAAGTATTTTAGAATTACATGAGAATCTTAGAAAACAATATTTACATATTTCCAAAAGCATGCATGTTCTGCTGCCATTTTAATTAGTGAAATAGTTACCAATTACTTAGGGAGTCCTTCCCTACTTCACACTCAGAGGGTGAGTCTCTGTGCTTGAAGAAGTAAGCGATGACTGCGATGGCCACCCTTCCCTCCCTCCATACAAACTGCATGGGATTTGACCAGTTTGGCTTTTTCCGGTTGTCTTTGCTGGGCTGAAGGCTTTATCTCTTCCTTTGTCAGAATGGTTCTTGGCACTCAATGAGCAAAGTCAGTCAACGGATGTTAAAAACGTGGGCATGGAAGAATGTGCCTATACATGAATGTAATTTTATGTATGGCTAAATCTTATAAAATAAGTTATAATGTTTAATTTTCTTATACTTAGAATGATGTATTGCTGATGTGTTTTTATAATTAGAATGGATATTGAGAAAAAAATAACTGTTTGGATGCCATGCATTCTAATTTGCATAATCAAATATTTAAGTGTTAAATACATCATTGACTTATTTTTGATAGAGCTGGGCCATAATTTAGATTGCTTATTTTAAAAATAGTCTTTTTCATATATAATTCACACATGATACAATTGAATGGTTCAAATATATTAAAGGAGTTGTGCAATCATCACCACAATCAATTTTAGAACAATTTCTTCATTCTGTACCCATTATTATTGGCACCCCATTACTCCTCTCTCACTCCTGCCTTAGCTCTAAGAAACTAGTTACTATCTTTATAGATTTAACTATTCTGGGTTTTATATAAAGAAAATCATACTAAAAATCAAAACAAAACAAAACCAAAAAATGACAAAGAAAACATAGAAAACCCTGAATCCAAGTGAAGGCAGAAAATAGTAGATACTAGAATTAAAAGTGGATCAAAAGGGAAAACAAATGATAATATGTTAAATTTTAACTTAACTATATCTGCAGTAATCCACTTTTGGAGGGCAAGACTATTCACATCCCTAGTCAATGGTCCAAGGGAATTCAGTGGAGGCTTAATCCACATGGGGCTCTGCAAATGGATTTTGGGTTTTCACTGTCATCCATAGCGTTCTGCAAACTGGGTGCTTAGAATTCAAGCTGTAATACTGAAGGGCTGATACGCTCCTTCCATGTGGCCTTAGCTGACACTTCACTTAGATATCAGCTTAAGGCTCCAGGCACTATTCTTTCTGATAGGCAGGCATCCAGTTTTCTTACTTTTAAAAATATATAAATCACTCTGTGGTATTTGTCCCAACTCTTTTAGAACTATTTAATAAACAGATAAGATTACTTAATTAAACATATGACTATCAGGAAGGACCTTGGCGGCACAATGGGTTAAACATCAGACGTTAACCGCACAGTGGTCAGTTACAACCCACTCCTCGTAAGAACCAGGCATCTTTCTGCTCTTGTAACAATTTACAGCCTTGGAAATCCCAAAGAACGTTTCAACTCTATCCTCTCGGGTTCCCACGAGTTGGAATTGACTTGAAGGTGGTGGGTTTAGTTTTTTATAAGTATACTGGACGGCCGTGAGTACAGCTCTTCCTTGTGGCCTGTGGCTTAGAGAAATCACAGAATCAGTTTTTACTTCCTGCAGGCATTCAAGGATGGGCATGGCACAAATCTCCGGCACTTTGCTGTGTGTCAAGATGGCTTCTCTACTCTTAAAAACTCAAGAGAAGCGTGTGCATTGGTGGGAGAACATCAGCAATTACAAAAATTAAAAGAAGTGAATCAAGCAGCAAAAAAATGTAACTATATTTCTTAATGTTAACCAAAAATCAAATTGAACTCTCTTTCCTATAGCAGAAATCTAGTTCAGCGCTATAAAGAACTTCTCAAGAGAAGGATATGGTTTTCTTTCCCCACCAAACCAAAAAAATCAAACACATTGCCAACAAGTCAATGCTGACTTATAATGACCCCCTGTAGGTTTCTGAATCTGTGATTTTGAACTGCTGGTGATTTTGGTGATTTTGAACTGCCGACCATGTGGATTGCAGCTCAATGGATAGCTACTACGTCAGCAGCAGGGATCCCCTCTCTTTCCCTACAGTCTGATTGTAATGCCATCTGTTTGCTCCCATCACAGTTACTCTTCCAGTAGCTCTGCTGCTGTCTGCTTATTCTTACCTTCCCCAGGTAGCCTGTTAGCTCCTTGAGGATATTTCCATGTCTTTTAACCTTGTATCTTTATGCCACATTACATGACCTTTTACCCTTAGCTGATGTTTACTTAATGAATGTTTGTTGCAGAATTTTGAAAGGAGTATGGGTGTGGGTCAATTTATCTAGTCTACCCAAAGGCAGAAAGGAGGGACCTCTCAACGTTATATTTTCTGAAATGGAAATGAAATTAGATTGTCACAGATACTGTACATTAAAGCTTGGGAATCACTCTGTATTATCAGACCAAGAAGCAAAAATAAAGCTACTCCAGATGAAAGTCAAGCTGAGGCAGAATAGAGAGGAATGAGACTGATAAATGATGAAAGAATAGCAAAGCAAGGAAGACAAAAAAAGCTGAACTTTAACAGAGAAGTCCTGCACCTGTAACTGTATGTGTTGCCGATTGAGGCTGAAGTCTTGTGAGCTTTGCCTTGCTCACTAGATATAACTCAAACCACTTGCTTGAAAAAGCTCGACTAGTGTGTACTTCATCCATCTACCCCAGCATGGCTTCTTCCCATTTCCTCTGTTGACACTTTTGCTACATTGACAACTGGCTGAGATGAACAGCGTGTATACTGCCTGTCTGCAAGTAGATGCTCTACCTTCTCAGCTGCTTGGTGGACCAGTGGTGGGAGGCCCTCATGAAGTTGCCGGTGCTTTTGGAGAGGGCTCTTTTAATAATAGAGTAGCCATATCTGTTCATGAAAAGGCTCTTTATGGAAGACCATGTGAGGCCTGCATGCAGGCTGGCCACCATTAGGATCTGCAAGATCACTTATGACTTTTCTACTTTCAGCAACACAGAATGGTTTACCTCCAATGACGGCGGAATCACTCCGAACTGCATTGGTGAGGGGTTCCTGTTCATCTGTTTTTCCAGAAGAATCTGAAAAAAGCAAAAAAGGAAATAGCCTTCCATCTTTACTCATACTATTGGGAATTGGCCTACGGTGTGCACAAGGAATGATACATTGGTGAGTTAGCTCAGGTACTCTCAAAGGGTGGTGAGCTAGCATTTCGAAAGGAATTCAAACAGATTTACATGAACAAAAAGCCTTTGAAGTACTTTGCATCTGCCCAATAGCTCCATAACTCAATTAGCTCACATGTGTCTGGTGGGATAAAGAGCCGAGTCTGTATGCCTTTGGCCTACTCTGAATCCCTTCTGACCATAGGCCAAAGATGTGGACCTTATTATTCTGCAGAGTGCCTTGGAGTTGGGTTTACTGTGGATGCAGTTAGATCAGATTTTAACACTGTCATTTGATGTCCATTTGACCTACTTTGTTTGTTCTAGTTTTTAATATTTTGTCCTTTCTTTTCAGTTGAGGTTTTTCTCTGTTTTATTTTGTTGTTGTTGTTTGTTTTCTGTATATGAAATCCAGGATAGGAAAAATTATAAAGACAGTAATGGGATTATTGATTTCCTGGGGGTATGGCAGGGGAAAATGAGGGGAAATTGGAAGCTAATAACAATGAAGTCATGAACATATAAAATATTCAAAAACTGATTATGGTGATGATTTTATAATATGCTTGCCTGCAATGTGAATTATACGCCAATAAAACGGTTAAAAAATTAAAATTCCAAATAAATAAATAGACTTTTCAAAATAATAAAAATGTCAGTTACTAACTAGGGAGTTGTCAAGAATTTTGTCTTAGTTGGATCCACAATCAATACTCATTGAAGCAGTAGTAAGAGACCAAAGATGTATTGCTTAAGTAAATCTGCTACACAAGACCTCTTTAGAGTATTGAAAAGCAAGGATGGAGGACTATGGTGTGCCTGATCGAAGCCCCAGCATTCTCCATTGCATCATATGCATGTGAAAGTGGGACATTAAATAAGGAAACCCAAAGAAGAATTGATGCATTTGGATTGTGGGGCTGGAGAAGAATACTGAAAGTATCATGAGCTGCTAAAAGGATAAGCCTATTTATCTTTGAGGAAATATAGCCAGATAGCTCCTTAGAGGCAAGGATGGGGAGACTTCATCTTAAATAACTTGGACAATTTGCCATGAGAGACCAGTCCCTGGAGAAGGACATCATGTTTGGTAAAGTAGAGGGCAGCAGAAAAGAGAAGGCCTTCAATGAGAGCGATTGACACCATCAGGACGACAATGGGCTCAAGTTTAAGGCAATCGTGAGGATGGCTCAGGGCCAGGGATGTTTGGTTTCGTTGTCCATAAGGTCGCTGTGGGTTGGAACTAACTTGCTGTTTCCTAACAACAACAGGCTTTGAGATCACTGGGTTTTGTTATATAGTGATTGAAAAATCACATCAATTAAGGATGTAGAGTTAATTGTGTTGTAGAATTAATTAATGCACTTGCTGTCAATAAGTTGTACACAATAAGTTGAATTGAAAAAAATCGTGTGATATAGTTATAAGACCAAGAAAAAGAGGTGCTGCTGAGACTGCTTTTGTACAATCAACCGCAACGAGATTTTCTCTCTCTCTTGATTTGGAGCTTTAGAGTCATAGCTGCATAAGTCACCCTTGGTAATTGGCTTAATCAAGTGTTTATTGCTTTAATTTTACCTTTTATTTTCTTGTGTAGGGCCTGGGGGATTAAAAGGTTCCATATGGATATTTCAGGAACAAGAATTATCTCCAGTCACCTGGAGTAACAGAGTAAGGAGGGTCCGAAACAGGCGGAGGAAATGGATGTCTGCCTAATTGCCTATATGAACAAAAGCCTCCTTGTCCTGAGACCAAGAGCAATGGGTGGTGGTTGGGTATCACTACTTAATGTTTTGATCACAGATTCCGTATAAAGATCCTAATAAAATGGTAAAAATGAAGAACAGAATTTTTAATTCCCAGAGCGTTCATGGAGACCCAAAACTATCGTACTAGAATAATACTTAAACTCATCACTTTTTATCAAACGTCTTCGTCGGACAGGGCAAGATAGGACAATATAATACTTTATAAATTATCAAGGGCTCATGAGGGAGGGAGGAGCTGGGAGGGAGGGGAAAAATGAGGACCTAATGCCGGGGGCTTAAGTGGAGAGGAAATGTTTTGAGAATGATGAGGGGAATGAATGTACAAATGCGCTTTACACAATTGAGGTGTGTATGGATTGTGATGAGTTGTATGAGCCCCTAATAAAATGATTTAAAAAAAAGAAATCAAAAACAGATTTCATTGAGGAAATCTGCTCAAGACCCATTTAAAGTATTAAAGTTCGCTTAGATCACTACAGAGGCAGTGGATGATTTAATGTGGCTGTAGACAAATTCTCAAAAAAAAATGAAACAAATTTTAATCTAACTACTAAAGAGTGACTTCTTTGAACATTCTGCTTTTTAAAAAAACTATATACATGGGACCAAATTTACAACAATCAATTGGGTTTCTAATACTGTAACTCTTTACAGGAGTAAAAGGTCCCATCTTTCTCCCATATAGAGTATATATGCAAGTATTACTTTAACACTGACTGCTCATTATATAAAAACAAAATTATGCTATAAAACAACAGCTAGGATAAATTAGTCTTAATTCTTAACCACCTGTAATCATAAAAAGTGAAGATTTTGTTAATAAAACAAATCTGTTAATCTAAAAACCTCTAAAAATATAAAAATTGGTGCTACTGAGCACAGTTTGACAAATCAATTTCTTGGTTATTCTTCTCTTGGATGTACCTGATGAGGAATGCACTGTGGTTACTGTATTCACATCTGAATATATCATGGATCCACAGCTAGATTCTGTCAGGGTCCCTTGGACAACAACAGGTTGGACGGTGGCATGGCGCAGGGCTGCCTTCAGTGGTGCTATATGATTGTACTGTACTGAAGATAGGCAACCTACAAAACCGAAGGTGTTTGCTTTGGCAACTTCTGAATCCAATCCAAGATTCTCTGTAATATGAAAGACAGTCAAACATTATTCAAATTCTATTGAGCACCCCAATTAATTTCTAAAATTACACAACTAACTTGTTATTCTTTAAAGAACATCTACCCCATCTTTCTTCACTTAAGTCACCCAAACCTTGCCCTCAGTAGAAATGTCAATATAACAGCCATATTTCATAGATAAATTCTAGGGTCACATCTTCTTTGAGACAAACAAAAATTGAGATTTCCAACTCATACATATTATCCATGTACTACAGGAATCATTATGTAAATTAAATAAATGTGCTCTATGTTGAAATGTATGAGTTTATATCATTATCTCAATCACTATTTAAATATAGGTGTTGGTAATTTGCATAAGCATACTACAATAGTTTATTTCAATGCTTACTCCAATTATATATTTGAAAATGTATGAAGATAAGGCAATAAAATAAATAGATCAGAAATCAATATTGTCCTCAAAGAAGCTTATCAGGCTCATGAATACTTTTTAAAAATAATTTTATTGACACATAATCCACATGTAGCCTTAATAGTTCTGTCATATGAAAGTGAGTTGTGCCATCATCACTACAATCAGTTCTATAGCAGTGCTTCTTCCTTGTTCTTTGCTATGAGCTCCCCATGGCCCTTGAACCTCCTCTCCCATACCCCCAATGAGCCATTAATGCAGTTACTATCTCTATAGATTTATCCATCCTGGACTTCTTATACTGGAAAACAACCCCCTGCCAAAAAAAAAAGGAAAATAAATAAGTAAATAAACCAGAGAAAAACCTCAATTGAAAAGAAAAGGAAATTATTTAAAGACTCCTGTACACACAGGCCCATCTGGTCAATATCCCCAACTGCTTGGTTTTGTCCAGCGTCGATTGATCAGGATGGATTTTCCATGAAACTGCTTAACCTTCCAAATTACCTTTAAGTCTTTATAAAAACTGAAGATGCAACAATGTGGGAATTACAGCAAGATGAGTTATTTCATTTTATTCAAAAGGCATTTTTGTTAAGATTATTCAGTAACCCATTTCTTTCTTATTAACAAGAATTTTTGAATACATTGTTATGATGCAATTATATATAACAGGGTGATCATAATACAAATGCATATTGAACCATGCTTTCTTAAACGTTAATATCCTTAACATATCGACATAGTTTAACTGGTTATTATATTTAAAAACCTAACACAAGGCAAAGCCACTGCCAATGAATCAATTTCAATTCATAGCAACTCTATAAGACCAGAGCAGAACTGCTCTTAAATATTTATGAGATTATAAATCATCCTTTATGGGAATAGACAGTCTAATCTTGCTCTCTCAGAGTGCCTGGTGAGTGAACTATGGACCCTGCAGATTAGAGGTCCAGTGCATGGCCAAGGCTCTGATTTTCTTACAATTACATATCTATTTTCAGGAAGAAGTGAGGTTTTCCTATTTATCACTGTAAAACAATTATATTTATAATGGTTAAAAAGTGGCTATCCTATCTGTGAGCATGTGTTATGTTGGCAAATTAAATAAGAGATGCAGTAAAGAAAACATGAAAGGAAATGAAAAACTAACATCTCTTAATGATATCTTTTCAAAATAACATTCCTTCGTTTAGCATCCTTCCTAGGTACTCATGCAAATGTCACCATCATTTCACCCCTCCATTCATAAAGAAAATTAATGCAGAAACCATGATCTTTTTAAATGCATGTGAAACTGAGTGAGATAGTTAAGGTTTATAGTGCCAACCTGGCTGATAAACACATGTGGGATTAATGGAAGGGCGGAGAGATAAATGGCTTGGTGAGCCTCGCCTTTCTGGTTTT